TCATGTTGTATTTAGAACACGTTTACGAACTCCAAGACCTTGATTTGTTTCCCCTGTCCTCGTGTTAAAACCCATTCCTCTAGAAATAAACTGCACTACCCTCTGTGGAACATGAGAGGTTATATATATAATGTTCTTCATACCCATCAAACATGAAGTAATCCTGTATGGCAATTATTTTTTTCCAAATGTTATTTTTTTTTAATTGCATAAATAGTTGTTATGCATTTACTTGAGGTACAAAACAGCGTATACTATATGCTATATGTAATTGTGTGCTTGGGACAGGGGGGTCTTTAAATTACATTAAAGTTATTGCAAAGGCAATGCCCTCATTCCATCCCCAGAAATGCAGAATGTTTGGTGTCACTAAATAAAATTACAGTTACACAGCTCCAATGGTTAGTTAAACATTGAAGCACAATAAAACACAATTGGTCAGATCACTAATATGACTAGATATTTTCAAAAAGTTCCACAAGTGGCCAAGAACTATTGTGATCATGTTGTGCACCTTGAAAGGAGTATTTGAAGAAGAAAGCCTATTTGCTCTTATAAAGATTTCTGTCCACTTCTGAGTATATAAAGTTAGGCACTTTGTAGATTTGAACTGGGAAGATTGGAGTTGTCTTCTGAGAATTCACTACTATTGCAAGTTGTTTTGTTTTTTGTGTATATTTGTACTTTTGTTTAAAAAATATTTGTCTGTTATGATTTCCTTTACCAAATTGTTCACAGAAGAGTAAAGAAACCACATGACATACTTTAATGTTTTCTGACTATTGAGATGGAGTCTGTACTTATTATTTATCTATACTCAAGCTGGTGTCTGTACTAATTATTTATCTTTAATAATATATATTATATAAATATATGAATATTTAACTACATCTGTTTTCTCTACCACCCTCATATTGTGTAATTACATATATCCAAATAATTTGAATATTATATTATTTCCCAGTATTATTACGTGCTATATTAGATTGTTACTATTATAATTTCAAAAACCAAGATATTGTTTTTATCTTGATTTTTTTTCTTCAATTTTTTTACTTGAGTAAAAATAGACAATTAAAATTTGGGTACACCCATCCCCCAAGTTATCCAAGGCTTCCATTCCACAAGTCTTTACGAAGCCTAAATTTTACATACTGTAAGTCAAAAAAGACACTGTAGTTAGACTCTGAGACTTAGCATCCAAGATATTGCAATGATCCCCCATTATTTCCCCTAGCTTTGCTGGTGAGTGAGGATGGAGGAACAGACGAACAGAGCTGCAGGGTCATTGGGGTTTATCGCCCCTTAACAGGTGTGTGAGCTAATCATGGAGGGGGGTGAAAGAAAGAAAGAACATGCTGTAGTAGCAGCAATCAGTCCATGAGGCAGAGTGACAGAAAGGAATTTGACCTAATTTATGTAGGGTAGTGTTAATGAAATAAGGAAAAATCAGTGAAAAAAATGTTTTAAAACCTTATAATTAGGATAACTGTCACAGCTCTCCAGAGGCAATTTCCAAATCTTAATCTGTCCACTCACCAAAAAGATGTAGCCAATTCATAGAGGGGGATTATTAGGAGGCCATGATTGGTAAGGGCCAATGGGAAATTTAGCCAGGACACAGGGGTTACACCCCTACTCTTTTCAAGAAGCGCCCTGGAACTTTTAATGACCACAGAGAGTCAGGACCTTGGTTTTACGTCTCATCCGAAGGACAGTGCCTGTTTACAGTATAGTGTCCCCATCACTATACTGGGGCATTAGGACCCACATGGACCACGGGGTGAGCGCCCCCTGCTGGCCCCACTAACACCTCTTCCAGCAGCAACCTTAGTTTTTCCCAGGAGGTCTCTCATCCAGGTACAGACCAGGCTCACACCCGCTTAGCTTCAGTGGGTTACCAGTTGTGAGTTGGAGGGTGATGTATGTTTTATCCCATATATCCTTAACGGGTTTAATGCAATTCAAGATATTTATGCCAGTTTGATGCAGAATGTGCTGAGTCACCATTGCTGTTTCAGGATGATGAGTATTATCAGGCTGAATAATTTAACAAGTTCATTGATGTTTGTATTGAGTAACAATGGATGGAGCACAAATTTCAGAATAATGAACACTTTTAAAGGTCACAGAGGGTGTTAAAATTTAAAGCATTTAAAAACAACCAATCAGTTGATTATTAAGTGATTCATAGTCTTGTTAATCATCTTTAATTATTCTTTAATTTGTTATTCTATTTCCAGATATTGATACAACATACAAGAACAATAAGGAACATTTTGAAAATATTTCAGTTTTTCATTGCCATTTTGTTTTTTGCCCAGTTGGACTCAGAGAAACAATATTTGCCATTGTACTTGTAAATATGATTAACTGAGCGGGTATTAAGAAAACCTATATTTTCTGTCCTTTCAAGGTTGTGCTTTAACTTGAAGGTAATGAAATGTGATGAAAGGATAACCTTGATTTTGAAAAAAATAAGACGAAAGAGAAAGTTTTAAATACAGTCATTTACAGTGAAGGTTATTTTATACAATTCATTGCATTATATATTTGTCATTTCGTTTCACATAAATTTTATTACAGTTTTCTAACCAAAAGCACCTTCAATCACAAATTTCTCTGTGTTACTGCACAATAGGACTCTAACTTAATTTTAAAGATGTAAATTGGGAGGCAAGCCTCTGGTAATCTTTACAAGAGCAATTTAAAAAAAATCAATTGTTTGGCATCCTTGTTGTTTATTTCACATCATAGGTCTTTATTTTTTCCAATGCAGATCAAATGTTATACAGCATGTATCTGTGGCATACATTATATGTATTTTCTGAAATAGAAATAACATGAGCTATCTTTTGTATCTGTACTTCATTTTTATTAATTATCCAAAGATACAGTATGATTGTTATTTTGATTTTAGAAGGATACCTGCTTATTTCTTTCAGCTGTGAGAACATGTGGTAAAAGATTTTTTTCAAAAACTGGTTGCTCTGTTTTTAAGATCCTGTGGAAAAAATAATAATAATCCCTTTAACACAATGCTGTGGCTATGCTATCTGACCAGAATATGAATCTTGAAGTGTAAAGTAGTTTTTTTTTAAAAAAAAACAACAAAAATAACATACTAAACATATGTAGGAAAAAATACTTATTGCTTACTTACAGGTGTATTCAGAAGTTCATTCTGAGAGTGTCAGATTGATCCCTGGCTGGAAACTTTTCATGTAATTCAGAAACTTTATATTTACTTATTTTTAATCTTTTATCTTGGCTAGAGTCAGAAGTGCTGTTGTTCATTTCTTTGTTTGAATTGCATTGCCACAATTTATTTTCATCACCAATGAAAGAGAGAACAGCTGGGGTGATGTTGACTACAGAAATTAACGAACATAGACAAAATGTTACTAGGATATAGTGTCACATCTAAAGGAAGGAAATGATAAAGGTCTACAAATATAGACTGCTCTCTCTGAAAATACTAAATCTGGAACTGTCAATGGCATATTATAATACATTCTATAATATTCTAAATGCCTTTATTTATTATCATGTATTATGGATATACCCAAACAGAATACAATTTCATGCAGATTTGTATTTAAATTGATATTGTAAACATTGCCATAGTTATTACCTTAAGCATTGTCCTGAGTCTTGTGCTGTTGTACTTATGAATCCACATTTTTCCTGATTTTACTGTTCCTGAAAATTGAGGAGGTCAATCTGATTTTGTTTTGCTGATTCAGCTAACACCGCTCTTTCTCCTTGATTGCTACCCAGTGGTCCAAAATTAGCAGGAATTTGCTCATTTTCAGTGATAAATTTGAGGTATAGGGTTTGAAGATGCAAAGAATAGAACCTTTTTTGTTAACATATTATTATGTGCAAAAAAATGTATAAACATGTTTACGTTCATCTCACAGTCCTTCATTATATACGGTAAGACATTCCTTCAGGATTGGTCCATTGGACCTTATTTTATACTGTGACTTAAGGCAGTCACAATTGGAAAAAAATCTGATTCAAGTGGACAGTTTTGTTTTGATTTTATATCTTTATGATATCATGAAGTCAGTCTGCTTGGGGACTGTACTGTATAGTGCAAACATGTTTCTCATGGCAGGATAAATAGAATCAATGTGCATTTTCTCATGGAAATGTGTATTAATTTGTCTTGATTGAAAAGACGGCTCCCTTTAACATTGCATGTTTAATTCTGCTAATATATGCTAAAATACAATAAAGAAAACTAATAACAATTGACATGTTCAATTTAAACAGGGTGGTATTTAACAGAGAACAAAGGTAAAGTCCACATAAGGGCATGGGATTAAAGTGAAGATAATTTAATTTAACATTACCTAAATGATTCCAAATTCCCTAACAACCATAGAACTATCAATAACTGTTTTAATGTGAAAACTGAAAATGATTAAGTGAAACTGTGGAAGGCTATTCAACTATCTGTTTTATTTATGCAATGACGTAATGCATTAATAATGGATCTTGACATTCTGAAATGCATTCTGAAGGCATTGTTAGAAGTGAGAGAATGGCAGTTTCAGGCAGCATGACAGTTCAGGCCTGAGATACATACCCCAGGAAGCTATGGTGTTTATCCTGCCATGTTCAGTCACCAAAAATGTGTTCTAAAGGCAAAGTAGATAATTGCATTATTATTATTATTATTATTATTATTATTATTATTATTATTATTATTATTATTATTATTATTATTATTACAATTCAATATTACAATATAATTCAACATTTTTAGCACAAACGGAGCAAACTGTAAACACACATTACAATGGTCTTACAAAAATCTTAATGCAAACAACATGTTTTCATATTTAGCCAAGGAAAGTGTTAATCTTCATTAATTAGTTTGTACGTGTTCATGCAATGAGTCTAATATATATTATATTGGGTCCTACTTGCCCTTTTTGTGGCAACTTTTAGATAGACTTCTAATATTTAATCTATTTTTTTTATTCCAGGTGTAATCAGGACTGCCTTATCCAACATGGACCGAGAAGCCAGAGAGCAGTATTCCGTTGTCATTCAAGCCAAAGATATGGCAGGACAGGTTGGAGGGCTTTCAGGATCAACCACTATAAATATCACACTAACAGATGTCAATGACAACCCACCTAAATTTCCCCAGAGTATGTATTGACAAAAGATATGTTGTGTCTTTTTATGTATTTAAAGTAGTATAAAAGAACAAGTAAGACGTTTTCTTGGAATTTCAAGGTATGAAATACCTTGATTTCCTTTAGCATGAACCATTTCCCAAAGAGGAAGGAAATATTTTTAAAAAACAGTATTTATTCCAAGAAGTGTTCTTTGCTGGATATTAGTGTTCTCCATCAGTCTTTATATTCCTTCATTGGTTGTTGTGAAATGTATCAAACAGTTTCTGATAATATGTAATGGCTAACTGAAAACAGGAATTCATTAGTATGGCTTAGTATTGTGATTAGCCTTCTGTGCATTGTTGGAAAAAAAAAAAATTCCGACAAGAACAAAATTTGCTTTATTTTTTAGTGACAGTCACTGTATTTTCATCCTAATATGTGCTGGAGGGACTGAAGTACCTCCCCTGATAATTACTTCTGTAAATTATAAAGCATTAAGCAGTTCCCTGCTGGCCTTTGAGCAAATTCATTCTTAAAATTGTATTGAATTGCCCCTGTAAAATATTCTAATGACATTTTGATCATACAAAATTTGTGAATATTGGGGGCTTCCATATGAGCAATAGGCTTCTAGGAATTAGAACAAGCTGAATTTTGGATATCAGAAATGTATTTAGATATTATCAAATAAACTCTTTTGGAAAAGAACTTCAATTTACTCCCTCTCAAAAATATAATATGAACATACATTTTTGCACAGTTAAAAACATACAAAGTTTTAAATGTAGCGTTCACTGTTCATGTTTTTAAGTAAAGTAAGATGTCTGTCCATCTTTGTATATGAACCGTCCAGGGTTTACCTTTATAAAAATGGCCCCATTCCCAAATGGTACCAGTGTTGTGTGTTTGAACCTCGGTCATATCACAAGTGGACTGATGTGTAAACACTGCCAAGGGCAGGGTGGGATGAGTCAGGACCTACTAGTGAAACAACAACCTCTGCGGCTTACAACAGCAACTGAAGCATTCTCATTTTTTTCTGTTGATGTCAGTGAGGGATGTGAGTTTCTTCCAATCATTACCGAAACACTTGTACATCTCTCTAGAGCTTGAAACATTAAAGATGAATAGGTTCAGAGAAGTATGCATTATCGTTGTGTGGGTAAAGAGATCATTATTTTGAACTGTAGACGTAAAGACACAATTGATGTTTTGATTTGGTGGGGTGTATAATTACTTTTTCAATTATTTTAGTTTACAAGAAGCAGAAAGGGTCAAATTCTCCTGTAGGTTATTGGTTAAAATTATTAGACAGGTCTGCATGCATCCATTTCAGACTTAGGATATGCCATGTGAGAAATAATATTTAAAAAATATCAATGGGATTGTTCAATTCAGCTGTTTATTTTGCAATATGTTTTTTTTACCAGTTCAGTTTTTACAAAAGGAAAACATACGTTTATTTTTTATAAAGTGGAGTTACAATTGACAAAAACATTTGGGAATTTATTCTAAAACATATAATTGATAGGAGAAATAAAAAATGCAGAACCAAACAAATATCTATTTTTCTTTACTTTGTAAACATACAGTATTTGCATTACAGATATCAACTTTTGTCCCTACTGTACCTGTCGTATATTCAATCCACCAGACATTATAATGAAATTGAAAACTGAAAGAGAAGTTCAACATTCCTATAAAGTGACAAGGTTCAGTGTTTCAATCATTTGCGTGTGTTTTTATTCCTTGCTGGAATAAAAAATTAACAAGTCTCATTTTTGTTAACTCCTTTTAAGTCAGAAAATAGTTGTAATTTGCAAAACAACTTTGTTTGACAGGTAATTTATATTTGATTTGAAACTAAGGCATATGCATATACTGTAAATACCCCTTAATTTATAATACATTGGCCTTCACAGACAAGCACATTATTAGCATTGCCTAATATTAGCATTCTAATATTAGGTCACTTAGAAAAATGATAAAAATATGGTCCTAACACATTAAACTTTTTAATTTAAATTGTCACTCAGAGCCCTTTTTCTTAATTAGCTGTAAATTAAGGGCACACCTGTTAGTAGCTGAGCATTTCCAGTAGAAATGTCGCAAGTAGAAAGGACTTCGTCTTTTTCACTGGAAAGCCAATCTGAAGATTTAAGTGTTCTTTGTTACTGTGTATTCTGTGGATTCCAGCATGCAAATATGTACTACAGTAAGGGGAGTAAGAAGGAAAACAAGGACATGTGCCATAGACCCATTAATGAAAACAAAAAGATACCATTTAAGTTGTACATAAATTAAGCCAAACAAAGCTCCAAATTTTGACCGGAAATGTGGATTTATTTTTCAAGTATTTGATAATAATGAAGAACAATTTACTCTATCCCATTTGGTTAAATGTCAATGGGACCAAAGGGACACTATCCCTTCACAATTTCATAACACATTGTTTTAAGGCTGTAATTAACCCAACAGTTTAATAAACCCTGAATCAGGAAGCATACTTAGTGTTAGCCTTTTTATTTACTATTATTTGCACTTTGAAAACAAATTAAAATATGTCAATTATATCTACATTAAGGATATATCATTGTTGATTGCCAATGTATGACTGAAAAATAAGCATAACTGGTCTAGCTTTGTGACTCTAATTTGGTTTGCTTTTGATCAGATTTTCTCAAATGAATTTTACTTTTATAGAGGGGTAATATATAGTAGTATATTTATTAGGTTCCGTTTTGTGCTAAGAAATATAATCTTTATATTTGGTTCATGAATTACATTTAACACTAAGGTATGTTATTGATCTTTTTAAGTTATGGGTAAAATGCTTTTTCACACAGAAAATTACCAGCTGTATGTTCCAGAATCTGCTCAAGTTGGAAAAGCAGTTGGTAAAATCAAGGCAAATGATGATGATATCGGAATTAATGCAGAAATAAAGTACAGCATCACAAATGGAGATGGGGTTTCAGTGTTTGCCATTTCCACTGACAAAGATACAAGAGAAGGCATCATTTCACTGAAAAGGGTAAGTACCACCAATTTTGTAAAATATTAACACAGCTAATTTTAATGAATTCAGTGTTATAAAATGCATTTAACTTCTGATGTAAATGCTAACTGTTCAGCTGGATAAATTAAAAAGCAAACCTATGATGAACAGTGAAATATTCTAAAAACTTCACTCAGGTAAATTAATAAACAATTTTCTCCACAGCAACTGAATTATGAAAAAAAGAAAAGCTATACTCTTCACATAGAAGGAGCAAATACTCACCTTGATCCTCGATTTTTACACCTTGGGCCATTCAAAGACACAACAACCCTGAAGATCATTATTGGAGATGTGGATGAACCACCTGCATTCTCAATTGATTCTTACGTGATGAATGTTTCTGAAAATGCAAGGATCGGTACTGAGGTGGGAACAGTGACAGCACAGGACCCTGACAGTGCCAGCAGTGCAATCAGGTAAATCCAGTGTGTATTAAATACTATTTTGTGTGTTGATATGGGTATCACAATTCAACCTGTGAGCTTTACACTGTGTATGGACTTTAAAGTTTTATTGACGTGTTCTATATTTACAGTGAAAATTTATTTACATACTGTAGGTCAATTGGATGCACAGCCTCACAGACTCACAGATTCACAGACAGGGGCAGTAATCATTGGAGCTTACTTTTCAAAGCTATTGTGGCACTCATTTTAAAACTTATTCACACATTAACAAAACATTTCTCTGCTCCCACCCACCATTATCTATATTAACAACAAGAAAAAATAAATCATTAATAAAGGCTTCATATCATTGTAAGAATGTTTTTACATGTGTTGCACTCCTGATAGTGAATTTATTTACTGTTTTCAGATTCCAGTGAATCAGAATCTCCACAATTATGCAACACCTAAGTGCATTTTAGTTTTACTTGGAATATGTTTTGTGTGTTCTAAATTCCTTGGAGCTTTGTGGTGACAGTCAGATTGTTCATTCTTTCAAAACCAGAAGTCAAAATAAGTGCAAAAAAGACAAACTGGGCCAAACTGAAAAACACAACCTCCTCTGTGAAGAAACTTTATATTATAATGACACTTATTATCAATAGTTTTCACTTGCTGGGTTTACTTTAAATAAATGTATCAGTATGTATCAATACAGTAATATCTATTGTAAATGGCATTTAAATAAATAATCTAAAAAATGATTAGAACCTAAAGTATGAATTCTGTTATTGAGAAGATTTGGTCTTTTCAGGGCTAGAAAAGATAAGCTGATGTACACTATGTATGGAGCACCACAATAGAAATATACTATATATCATAATATAACTAATAACATATCTGGAGTTTTGACGTCTTAAAACAGCAAAAACAAATACTTTTACCTCCTAGTATGGCTTTCATATCCAGAGAATAGCTCTAATCTAACTGTGCAGTTCTTTAATAATCTAAAATTTACTTTTTTTTCCTCAGTTGAATTTATATGTTATATTGTTTTAAGCGAGTAATTTAAACGTGTGATGTCTGTAAATCTGTGCGCAAAAAAATAAAATAATATCTGATGAAAATAAGAAATGAAAATGTATCAAAATCATAATGAAAATTTATCTCCAAGAAAAGAAACTGTAGGTATCTGTGATAATCCTAAAGTGACTAAATATGTACTACACAAAGACATCATATTGATTTCACTGGGGCACTGTTTCCATTTTTTTTCAACTTTGCGCATGTTCAAAGACATGATACTGAGTTAATTAACAATACAGAAATAAAACTCCTATAATGTTATAAAAGACTGTGGAGATACAGTCCAAATTAAACAAATTGTTTCACCTTACCATGTTAATGTAATCATGTGGTCTATAAAATAATATCAAATCAACTATAAAAAGTTTATGGTCTGTGTCCTGACTTGGCTTGTGGCTTATTGTGTAATAGCATTATGGTACTTACTGTACAGATGGCCATTCAAAATGCGCGATAAAACCCCGTACCGTGGGTTTTGAGCTACAGGCGGCTGCGGTACATGATTCGCTAGCCAAAGATGATTGACAGGTGCATTAGTTGTTAGTGAAACAATTGCTTCAATCTTTCTACTGTGCATGTTTAAATCCACTTAATATGGAATATAAATATGGAATTTTACAACTAAAGGGAAATTTTGGTAGCTGAGCATAAAAATAACAGGAGCAATTATGTCTTCGAAGTTCATATCATCATAAACGATCTTAATTTAGGAATATAAATACATTATACATACCGTATATGGCTGGTAGTGGTAGCTTAAATAAAAAGTACACAACACTATTCCACTTTCTTCATAAACATTTTATGCATCAAAATCTTTAACTCAGTCACTTACCATGATTATTTTGGAAAGGTTTTGATGTGCTTGTTCTGACTATATTTTAGTTTATACTATATACTTTGTAAAAAACTATAATGTTTTAACCTTTTCTATGAATACCCGCTATCGTTATTTCAGTAATAACTTGTACTTTTTAGAATCTGCTTAATAGGGAATATAATATGGAATTGCGTAACTACATAAATTAATAACAGTATTAATTTAAGAATCTAAAAATAATATATTTATATAGCTGGTAGTATTATCATAGTTCACTTTCTTTGTAAACATGTTTTATTTTTTCTTTGACTCATTCACTCATGAACATTTTAGCTGTTTGTTTCAGCTATGTTTCTGAGTGTCCCACTGGTGCATCAGGTTCTCTATCTAGAAGATCTTAGGGCACAAGTTTTTCTTCTAACAAATAAAGAGTCCTTTAAAAAAATAAAATAGTAAATATTATGTACACTATATTAACAATTATTTATTGTTTTTTTGTATATCACAACATATTCAATGTTAAATGATATTAATAATGAAATAAAAAAGTAAATGAGCAAACGTGGATACTATCAACAGTGGGAGTAAAAACCAGTTCAACCAGTTTAATACAATTCAAAATACTTTATTCAGTGGGGCAATTTACCATAACACAAGCCTTAAAACGAAACCGTATATATATTATGATTATAATTGAGAATAACAAAGTGGTATTAAAAAGACCACTAAAACTATAATAATGTATCTGATCATTATTAACAGTATTAATTTATTAATAATAAATAAATTTCAAACTTCTTGTGTCTTTTTCAGAGTCATTTGTTTTCTCCAGTTTTCATAACCTTCACTTTCTTATTAAATGAGACACAATGTTTCAGATGTCAATAACTGTGAAGAATGACACAGAGCCTTCAAACCACAGGCATTATAAAGATCGTAATTTGTGAACATTTTCACAGATTTTATTTAAATACCTGGTTATATTTTTAGAAACCTCAGTTTGAATAAAGAAGGATCCCAAGTGTAAGTGAGTTCATAACGTGAGAATGCATTATGCATCAGTTGAAATGTTCTGAAGTCTCTCAAAAACCTAAAAAATGTAACATAATATTGTATGGCACGATGGGCAACTGATTCTTTAAATTTTAAAGAAAATCAAAAATAAGAAAAAATAATGTGTCCCTGCCTAATTTAGACATTGCATGACTTTAAAAGCCATAAAAAATGGTTTTAGATAACACTTTTAAGCACGAAAAACAGGTGATTTTTCTTCCTCATGATCAGCTTTAAATCTTTGTGTACACTAAAAGCTTTTTGTTTACTTTTTAATTAATCATTTAAAACACTTTATTTTTTGTTAATGCAACATGTGTTTCATACACAAAAAATCACATTCTCCCCTCTCCCTGTGGTCTTTTAATAACATGAATGAATGAACCTCCAGACCCTCTCAAGGGATTGTTTCGTGTCAGTCAGCTAGCGCATTATCACCTTGCAGGAGGGGGAAGGGAAAAGGGCTGTAATTTCACTCTCCCTCAATACACATTCATAATAGTCACTGATGCAGCTTTAGCCAAGTAATTCCTGGTTTTAAAAGAAAAATGTGATGTTTCACAACATTGAACACAGAGCCACACAACATTGTCACAACATAATAAACAATAGCTCACGTAAAGGTGTAACATATCTTCACTGTTATAGTACAGTTTCAACATATTGATAAGCTGCTCTCCGGTTACTTGCAATTGTAAAAATAACATCTTCATCCTTCCTTTGTTTAACTGAAAACATTCTGTGAAGAAATCCTTAATCACGTCACCATCACTTTCAATAATTCATCCAGATACACACACTTACGCAGGAGCCAATTTTGCCAGATAAGTCTTTGGACTGCGCAGTACTGTACAGTACAATATACGGTTTAAAGTTTTAAATTTAAACTTGTTGGCTGATTACTGGTTGCTGAAATTTGGATAAAGACAGGTTTTGCAGTGGGACATTGCAACTTGCCAATCACATGAAAGCTTGTTTGGGGCACTTTACCCAAAGAGTTCCATGTAGAACAATGCCTGATCAGATCTCCTTTAAAAAGGCTTTAAGCTTTAAAGCTTAGGTCACAGCAAGAAAAAGGCCACACTTTGTTTTCTGTGCTTTCCATAATTCCTGGAATGTCACCAGAATCAAGGGAGAGGGCCATTGGCATGCTGCAGGCATGCATGTCATGTGCCAGCGTTGCCAGAGTAAGCCGCCCTTCTGTGCCCCAACTGCAGAGAAGGTTTCAGCAGACCGGCAGGACAGATGACTTTCCAAGATCCGGTCGCCCTCGAGTGACCACACTAGAGCAGGACCGACACATCAGATTGGTCCATCTGAGAGATTGTTTCAGATCTGCCACCCACACTGCTACAGAAACTGCCGGCAGACATAATACCATCATCGGTGCCAGGAGAATAAGGCTCCATGCTGCTGGTCTTAGAGCAAGGAGATCTGTCAGAGGCCTTATTCTCACACCTCCTAGACATCAACCAATTGGCTTGGGCCAGACAGAGGCTGGCATGGACTCGTCACTCTTCAGGCTGTTCCACACAGACGGGAGGGCCAGAGTGTGTAGGAGGAGGGGTTCCATTTCTTTTTTCAGTACATATTTGACTATGTAAGAAACAAACCCAAAGTTATTCTCTGATTGGGCTTTGAACCGCCTGGATGCAGTGCATTGCATTACAGTCCATGGGCGTTCCATTGTCCATTACCACTATAAATGACAATAAATGTTTTGTTTTATAAAATGTTTCCAAAACATCCACTTATGATATTTTACCTGTTTAGTAACAGGATTCCATATTAATATTACTATCAAGTATTACTATTATAAATATTATAGTGATAGAACAAGCACGCTAAAACCTTAAGTTAAAGACTTTGATGCATAAAATCTTGATGAAGAAAGTGGAATACACTACCATCAACTGTGTACATTAGGTATGTATTTTGTTATACTACTGTTTTTATTTTCAGCTACTAAAATTTACCATTGTATTTTCTCTATGTGGATGTAAGCCTGAAAGAGCCACATCAGGTTCACAAGCTACAGTATAATAAATTGTTATTTATATATCCAATTGAGCAATCTTGCTTTTATAAAATATACCTATTTTTAATTAAATATTTAACATGCTGTAATACACAGTTTAAAATTAACAAAAGTCTAAACAGTATACAACTTAAATTCTTTAATTGGAAAAATATTGTCCCTCAGCATTGACCAGGATTTGAGATCAGGCGTTTTCTGGCGACAGCCCAAATGCTCCACATGTCAAATTAAGCTTTCACTGCTCCACCTGGCAGTTTTACAAAGTAGTGCATTTACACAACTGAGTTTTTCTAAAAAGCTGAGGTAACCCGCAGACACTAAACTGCAAACTACTGCAGTATCCCTCGTGCATTCTGATTGGCTGGATCTGTAGATTTCGTATGGAATTCACTGTATATTTTCTTTACTGACACTTTCCTAAAAGATAATAACACTGGAATGAAACTTAACTACATTAGGTTTATCCAGCTTTACTCATTACCAGAAAATCTCAATCCTCTCTATAGATGGAGGTTCTTTAATCAACTTTTTTTGTGATTGCTTTTTTACCAGTACCTAGAAGAATTATTAACATATACTGTATCTGTTATGCTTCAGTGCATTCAAAGGGAACATTTCCCAATGTAGATTCTGAAAAAGCTGACAGAATTGCCTTTCACAATGTCTTTGTGGATTTTGAATACTTCAGCTTGGAGCTCTTTTAGTTTTCTCTATTTAGTTTTTTTATTTCTCTATAGCTAGTGAACAATACTCAGATGAAATTACATTCAAATTAAATATAATACAAAAAAGTTGTAAAATACAATTGTGTTGAAAAACAGTCGCAAGAACAGACTGGAGTTACATAAAAGTGTGCTTAAGTTAAGACCATAGCTCAAACACACAGTAGTACCATAATTCTGTTTCCAGTAAAGAAAGGTATGCAATAAAGTCTATCAAGTTTAGCATCAAGTAAAGATACCACCTGAAACTAATCATGAACAGAGAAGAGCAGCATTACAGTTAAACAGAAATGCTAAATTTATTTAAAATATATTTGGCTAAAATTTGTTTAAAAAATCTAATTTTTAAAAGTTTAAAAATGCACAAGCGGAGTTATGTAAATAACATAATCGTATATTCCAATCATTAATAAAAAAAGTTTTCATTTTCATTGCGTGCCATTTTCAAATCACTTAATGTTGTTCAAAAAGAAAAGAAAAAAATCTGTACCCTGGAGAAAATTCCCATATGAGATATTTTATTAAATAATTCAAATCTTATATGCCAACCATTCAGCAATGATTTTGACTGGCATTATTCTCATTTTCTATTGCTTCTGGCATTCATTAAGGATGGCAATATTTGGTTGTTGATCTTGTCTCTGGACCTCAGACAGCTCATTCAGTTCTCCATTTTTTACCCTTGTCATTAATATAACCAAGTATTGCTTATTGTTCTATGGAGATGAAATAATGCTACATGAAGACAGTGTCCACAATTTCTGCTTCATCTGTTATGTATTCTAGGATATGTCATTCAGTTTATTTCATATAGTATATACAATTATTTGGCTCTACTTGACCTCATGGGCTAAACAAAAGGATTGGTTAATTCGAATTATGTCTTTTTATTGCAGGCATCTTATCAATCTTATATTTAGTAAGGGTTACTATCTGGAACAAGCTTTTGAATGTCACAGATTAATAGAATATCCATCCATCCATTTTCTAACCTCTTCACCCAATACAGGGCTGTGGTGGAGTTGGAACCTCGGCAAGCAGTGGGCACAAAACCATACACCATGGGATGCCAATCCATTGCAGGGCACACACAGACACATTCCTACCAGGGCCGGTTTATTTTTCCCAGAAGCCAATTAACCAGTATGCCTTTGAACCATAGGAGGAAATCAGAACACCCAGAGAAAAACCAAGAGAACACAGAGAGAACAAACTCCATGCACATATCTAATTCAGGGCCCCAGCACTGCAAGACAGCAGATAAATATTGCAAGAACAATATATAGGCTAAAAAAAATTCAGTCTCCAAAAATCCCCATTTTTGAACAATTAAAGTTTCTTTACAGAGTGTACTGTATGTGGCCCCTCATATGGGATTATCATTATGATGATATATCATTATGATGATTTCACACAGAGCATGCTTTAGTACTGTACATGAAAGGGCACTTTTTACAGTATTTTGAGAGTGTCCAGTTTGTTCTTGTTTGTCCATTATTTTAAATGTTACTTTTTGTTAGGTAATGTTTCTAATCTGTGTCTTTTTCAGTAGCAGGAATTGATCGTTTGAATATAGCTAAAAGGTGGCTGGCTCTGTTACATCCTAGCTTGCCTTAATAATATTTATATGGAGAACTCTTTTGCTATAATCCAGTAGTAGGGGGAGGGGTTGGAATGTTGAGTGCTACTACAGTGAAAGCCCTGTTACACAGGTCTTCCATTGTAGCTTATTAACTGGATTTTAGGGGTTCTTATGTAGAGGAGGGGAACCAATGAAGATGAATGGGGTTGGGTTAATGTATTTTGGGGTCATAGGTGAATTGTTATTTCAATTTTTGTGTTGTGTTTGGTTCTGCTTTGGGAAATAAATAAAAAAACTTCACAAAAATGGTTTGTGATAAGACTCTGCAAACCATAACTGCATCTGTTAAATTCATGTTATTGTTTTGTTAGTGTTATATATATGCTATATTTTAAAATTGTCTCAATAGCCACAATATGCCATTTAACATGGAAGCTTTTTGTTACTGTTGTTTTGGGCTACATTATGGTTGCACTAGCATTTATTTTTCCTGCAGGCTACTGCCTAGTGGGGGATGGGGGAGTAAATTCACTCAACCAGTATTATTAATTCATTCCCTTCTTGTGCTGCTCAGGCTTTCTTTTCAAAGCTCAACAGTTCACATGAGCTTCTTGAAATTTTAAAGGAAAAGGTTTTAGAACTCATCTTGCTCTTTTTGATAAAATGTTAATATTATACACAAAACACTGAACACCTTGGATCACCTTTATGTCGGTTGACATCAGTAGCACTCCATTTGAGTGAAGTAAATTGTATAGGTAACAGATATATATTTTCCAGCAACATTCAATGTAAAGTTTTGACAGAGATTGAACAGTATACTTCCTGTGTTCACCCATTTACTTGAAATGGTGTAAAACCAGTTTCTTCTTTCATCCTGTTCATTGCATCTTATGTATTTATCTCTCTATATTTTATATATCCTATACAAAAAACAATCTGACAAATTGTAAAAGCAATACCTTTACATTGCAACCAATATACCCAGTGCATCTTGGTTGTTATGCACTTAATGGGGAGTTCCTAAAAATAAGCACTTAAAGGGAAAGTTTTGTCAGACTTTGTTTACATTTCTTGTTTTTGTCTGGGCAAAGGCGTTAACAAATACACTGTATATTTGATTAGAAAGCATACTGTATTGTATAATTGATTTTCTAACCAGTGAATTTATAATGGATTAGATTTCCCTTTTGTCCCCTTTCTTTCTTTACTGTAAGGTTTGTGGTGTTTGTAGTGAACTTTAACATTTTTTAGTTTTTTTGTTTCTATAACTTAATTCAATTTACAACATTTGCTTATTAAGTCAAAGTAATTCATTTACTGTACATTTTGTCTGGGAAGATTTTTTGCATATTTTCATGCAGATGTGTTTTTCATGGTTTAAAAAAATATATTATTTAGGAAATGGTCTACTTCATTATATTTTAATGGTTGTGGTTGTTGTTGGCTAATATATATTTTTCTTAGATGGCACAGAGACTATATTCATGCAATTTTAATTGTGTCTGTTTAAAAATAGGTATTTCATTGACCGCAGCTTACATGGAGATAAGTATTTCAATATTGACGCCAATACTGGAGCCATTAAGACTGCAAAAAAACTTGACAGGGAAGAAATGCCTTGGCATAATATCTCAGTGATTGCCTCAGAGGTTGGTAAGTATAGTGCACATCTCATGTTACTGATTTAGTGTGTTTATGGAGGTAGGGAGTGCCTTTATAAATATCATCTTAGATTTAAATTGTTTTATTTTACAAATTTTTATGGTCCTCCACTTATTTGATGTTTATATTAAGAAATACGTTTGTCGATAATACTAAGACCACAGATGAGTCTTTTTTGTGATTCTTAACAAGGATGTTATTAAGTCCCAACCTGCCTGAACAAAATAGTCAATAATCCAATATTTTAAATAGACCTTTATTTAAAGTAATATAAGTAAATCTTCCTTCTTTTATGTTGGTAATATGCAGATATTAAGGAACTTTTAAATATAAGATGGACAACTGGTGAAATCAGTGTTCTGAATAAACACTATGCGTCAATAATTTTATATAGAATAATGAGCTGTGTGCATTTACAAAGTGAAGTGCGCATTTCACATGAATACAAACTTTCCACATTTACTGTATGGTTGCATAATGCCATACAATAGAAGAAGCACTGGACTGTTTAGATCCGCTTAAGTCTTTTTCCTGGTGTTGAGATAAAAATAAACTGTCCTATTTGTTCTGGGTTTATGACATTGCAGGTTGTAGCTGGAGGAATGGAAAGACATCTAGATTATTGTTAACAGACAAAATCAAAATCCACAGACACTGTAAATACAGGATTAAAGTATTTACAGTTTATTCTGTAAACAAAAGTAGCTTCTCACTCAAATAAACTCTGTCTCTCTTTTCATCATCTTATTGGTAGCCTCAGACTTTCCACAGCCACAACTTCCTAAAAACCTTTCCTGGTTTCAAGTTCAAGTTCATATTTATTTGTCATTTCAGCCATATACAAGTATACAGTGGAACGAAATGTTCCTCCTGGTCCACGGCACAAATACAGACAGGACACTGACACATAGTGCAAAGTGCAGATAGTGCAAATTACAAGGCAAATACATAATACTATATACACAACACACTGGGGGGATTTAAACCCTGTTTCTGGAATTGAAATGGGTGCAAGTAGATTCCATGGTGTTAAGGAGCCTGGCAGCCTGTGGGAAGAAGCTGTTACAGAGTCTGGTGGAGCTAGCCCGTGCACTGGGATATCTTTTCCCAGATAGTAGGAGGGCAAAGAGTTTATGGGAGGGGTGGGAGGCATCATCTACTATTCTGGAGGCCCCGTGCATGCAGCGTTTGTGATAGATGACAGAAATGGGAGGGAGGGAGGCTCCAATGATCTTTCAGCTGTTTCCACAATTCATTGTAGGGTCTTGCGGTCTGAAGCATTGTGTTTCCCAAACCAAACAGTGATACAGCTGGTCAAAGTGCTCTCAATGGTGCTTCTGTAGAGAGTGGTAAGAATGGGCAGGGGAAGATTTGCCCTCGTCAGTCACCGCAAGAAATAGAGATGCTGCTGTGCTTTCTTGGCTAGGGAGGTGGTATTGAGGGACAAAGTGAGGTCATCTATAATGTGTACACCAAGAAACTTAGTGCTTCTTACTGTCTCCACAGGGGAGCCGTTGATGTACGGTGGGGAGTGATCAGCATGGGCCCTCTTGAAGTTAATGATTATCTCTTTTTGTTTTCATTAAGAGATAGGTTGTTGTTTGTGCACCACTCCACTAGTTGCTCCACTCCTCTATGTATGGTGACACATCAGTGTTGTTAATGAGGCCCACCACTGTCATGTCATTGGCAAACTTGATGATGCAGTTTGAACTGTGCTTGGCATCAATGTGAACCGCAGTGGGCTAAGCACACAGCCCTGGGGGGTTCCGGTGCTCATTTTGATGGTGGTGGAGATGTTATTACCAATCTGGACTGCCTGAGGTCTCTCGGTCAGAAAGTCCAGAATCCAGTTACAGAGGGAGCTGTTAAGGTTCAGCAAGCTCAATTTCTCTGTCAGCTTCTCGGGGATGATTGTATTAAATGCTGAACTGAAGTCAATGAAAAGCATTCTTACATAAGAGTCTTATGTCTTACAGGTGAGACAGGGCCAGGTGAAGGGAAAGAGATACAGCATCATCAGTACACCAGTTGGGGCAGTATGCAAACTGAAGGGGGTCCAGAGGGGTAGGGAGTATCCACTTGCTTGTTTCCAGCAAAGGCAAGCAGGGAGGCAAGACCTGGGAATGTGATGAACAGGCAGACAAAAGGAGGACAAACAAGCAGATGCACAGGCAGACAGAGGATTGACGAAAAGGGAAGGCACTTTGCAGCCAGGCTGAATAGCACAGGGTAGTTCACATTGCAGTTGAGTAAATCAGATCAGGGAATCTGCATGGCTGAGCAGGTCTACACAGTTGAGACGACGTCCAGTACAGTGGGCCTAGCTGGTTGCTGTAAAGATATAGAAAGTAAGCAGCAAATGGGGATCCAGCTGTCCATGTGGGCTGATTCAGACAGAATTTAAATTGTTCTGATGAGTTTGGCATTGCTAGAAGCACTTCCCTAATTCAGTAGGAAGCTCAATGACAGAGCTATTGACCATGAGCAGGGTTAAAGTGAGCTGAAGCTAATGAGAGCCACCCCGATCAAGTTCCCAGAGCACTGGGAGGTGTTTGACTCCACGTTCAAGCTCTGGCTTGAACAGGGATAACACTTTCCATAAGTGGTTGGGATATGCAGTATGACGTCTGAAAGGAGAAAAATAAGAACATAAAGTGTTTTCTAAAATATGATTTGGGTTGCAAAATTGCTTTTAACTAATTTCTTTTCTAAGATCCTTTTAAAAAATCCTTTAAAATATGAGTACATCGATTTCAGTTACACAGTTTTAAAGACTAATTTTGTAACATGGATTTTATTTTGCTACTTTTGAAAATTTAGTTGATTATGCCATTTCTGTTTTTATCACAATTATTTTATAGGAATTTGCAATATAAAAACTAAGAGCCTGACCAGCTTGCAGCTCATTAGAACAATTTCTTATAATGCTGTCTTTGCTGTGGCTGAAAAATCCTGGCTACAGCAATGCGTGCATAGAACACTATCCATCCTTTTGAATCTCAATTAAGCAAGCTTGAGACTAGCTGGGTTGCTTGCTTGCCTTAGGGCAATTATACATAATTTGTCTAGTCGATTGTTCATTATTCTCATTTCTCTTTTTTCAAAACAAGTATAATTAGGTTATGTTTTTCAGTTTAGAAAAGGTAGCTGAAATCTTCTCATTTTTGATCCTGCTTCAGTGAACTTGCACTTTGTAACCCTGAGGCATTTTCCTTTGCCCGGGCTTCTCTTTGTTGTTGTTGTCCCGGATATAATTTTCTATTTTAATATATTGCTAAATTACGATAAACGTGTGAAAATCAATTTAAAAAATGTAACATCAGTACAGAATTCTGAATGACAATTAACCTTTAAATTTGTACCAGTCATACCTTTTGCTTTATCCAATAAATGTGTTACAACAGTTCTTCAGACATTTCCCATGTAACTTTTTTTTCTACAGTAGGACAGTAGGTACAAAACATAACTATATTATCAATTTAAATACAATGATATACTGTGATGTACTATACTGTAACTATTAAAGGATGGCACTGTGGCTCAGTGCTTAGCTCTACTGGCTTGCAGCCTTGTGGCCCTGGGATCAGTTCCTGGGGTTCTTCCACCACCCCCTCCCCACTGTGTTTATGTTGGTTTATCAATATTATATTATCAAAACATAAAATAATATAAATATTTTGATTGATCATCCGGTGTTTCATCTGTGAGTGTGAAAAATTTAAAGTCCATTGAAACGTTCAAAGCAAGTCTGTATAAACATTGTTAAAGATTTCATATGGCTTCTGACATTAAATAATTTAATAGTCTTCACCTTTTGAACTTGCAGCCAAAGTGCAGTTTTTGATCATGTCAATCATGGCATCCTGTTGGAGTTTGTTTCTATCATTACAGAACTAAGGGTTATTTTGTTAAGATAACTCTATAAAGAAACTCAGTCCTACCAATACTGCAAGTATAGGTTTTAAGATAATCCTGTAATGAAAAATTAAGGGTTTATATTTTTACTTTTACCCTTTTGACTGTTTTACAATTATATTAGTGTTACATTATCTCTGTATGTTTGTTCAGAATTAGAGTTATACCACAAATGAGTAAAAAATATAAACAATTATATTTATAAGTGCTAAATAAACATTAAAGAATTACTAAACAGATACACTTAGTATTGTCTACCCACAGAAACTATTCTATACTATACTTTGGTTAAAATCAGCCATAGAGTCCATGGCTTTTGAATGTGTCCCTCAGGCATATTGCTATAGCATATTCTTTGTTTAATCTGGAAGTTCTCCTACCTGGCCTTGGGCAAATGGCAAATTATATATGCATATTGAGGAAGTAGAAAAATCCAAATTCATCCATCACAAGTAAAGAGCACCGTTCATAGCCATACTGGCAAGCTGATGGATTCAGCAGATTATTAAGAAGCACAGCCATGTTGCATGAAGTTAACTATTTATATAGCTGTGTAATATTGAAAGAGAAAAGTGAGGCTAATGCTGAATAGAAGATTCCATACTAAATGAGGTGATGTATGCTGGTGTGGTAAAACGTCTCTGCATTTTTAAATCTGCAGATGAACACATGAACATCAACCAGCATAGAACTGGGTTCTTTTAAACTGGGTTCTGATAAGAACTTGGGTATTAAACCTTAAAAAAAAGGGTATTTGTTACCAACAAATTAAAGTGACTGAGACTTGCAATGTCAGTATAAAAGGTGTTGCAGTTTGATGGTGTTTCTTCACATTTGACTGTATTGTCTGCAAGGGAAAGAAGAAAACATTTTAAAATGCTTTTTTCTTTATGTATCAGAATAGCACTTTACAACAAAACATTGTATGAGGCGATATAAGCATTATTTTCACTAATAGAATAATTAGGTAATAGAATAATTGTGAGTATACATACCTGAAATATATTTATAAGGATATATTTTGGATTCATTTTGAATATATTCTTGAAATTACACTTTATTACTGCAATAATTACAGTATACTTTAAGCACTTGTACTATACCTACACGAGCCAAGTTTGAAAATTTAACATACTGTATGTGGTGTGCGATGATGATTGTTTATTACATGAGTTCTTGTTGTGTCAGTGGTTTTGTGATTTCATTGCTCCTGGAAAATGAAAATGCAGCAAGAGCAAGTAACTTTGTGTTAGCATCAGCAGACAGCTACCTCTTATGTTATACATCAGGAAGTGTGAAATGAAATATACATTTTAAGATGAAAAAAACAGATATACACAAGATATGCTTTAGGTATCCACATTAATGTGAATGCAAAGCATGCAATTTACCAATTTATATATACAGTATATGTGTTTACTGTATATTTACCACCAAAAATATTTTGGGAAAGCAAAATCATAGCTCTTATTTTTGCTTTATGGTCAAGTACTTTGTATTTTTTATGAGATTATAGTTACAGTTCATTGTACTGGGGTTCCGTATTATTGATGTTAGGATTCTAAACAAACCATAAAACATATTCAGTACTACTCTTCTTGACTCATGCAGTATTCAGCTTCAAAGTATGTAATTTTATGAACAACTGATTTACAGAAGGCAGACTCTTAAACTAGTAACATTGATCATTCAGCAGTTTATCTATGCGCTATATACTGACAATATATGGGTGATTTGAGTATTTCATGGTTCTATCTAAATGAAATACAAGGTAAAAATGCTCTTACATATTGTAAGTGAGATCAGAAGCCCTGGGTTGCACATATTGTCCATTTTTGATACAGATTAGAAAGTGAATTTATGGATGTCTTGGTACAGAATATTATTCATACATTTGAATTGAATTGGGTTCTTGTCTGGTGCTTTACCCAATATTTGAAGAAAAAAAAACAAAACAATTTAGTGGACCTCATTGGCTCAACTTGCAGAAACACTGGTTCAAAGTGAAAGAGGACTTCTTTCAAGTTGCAAGTTCCTGTTTGTCTAGGTCTTGCTTCTAGCCCACTATTAACAGGATTTTTCAAGTGACAGTGCATATTTTGTAGGACACCCCTGAGGGCAGTATTACAGTTATTTAGTCAGGGCTGTCCTGGGACTCTACAAATCAGCACCCAGTGCAATTTTCCAGGCAACTTCCTACTTACAATGATATCTTTGAAAGGCAAGTTGTTCCTTGAATTGGGATAGACCTTCCTATAAGGTTGGGAAGTTTACATTGTATCAAAAGATAAATGGCTTGATGAGTATGTGGGTCAGAGTAGCTTGCCTTTTTGTTCTCATTATCCCTGTGCAGTACATGCGATGTTTCTGTGACTCCAAACAAAAAGAAGCAAATATCAAATCCCAATTCGATGTATATGAAATGAAAATGAGAACAAATGTCAGAAATTAAAACAGAATATTCACTTAATGTATTGTATATTTATACAATGCTTTGTTTTTCTTAAAGTGTTGCTATTGGAGTCAAGGCACAACATTTTGATTTGTATTTTTTTTTATTTTTAATCTCTTAACAGACAACCCCAGTCTCCTCAGTCATGTTTCTGTAATGGTTCAGGTTTTAGATGTGAATGACAACCCGCCTGAGCTTGCCAGTGATGGGGATGTAGTTGTTTGTGAGAATTCAAGACCTGGGCAGGTAAGCTGTTTGTCCCATGTTTGTCATTTGTTCCATGGTATGACAAGAGGGACAGATTTATTTCCAGCACAACAGCATTTCAAGCATCTTGACCTTATAAATTATTCAGTGAACACTGATGTTTCCAGCAGTAGATAGGCTGCTTTAAGTGCATGAAGCAGGAAAAATATTTTCTGTGTATTACACAGCTATGATAACCATCAGTCATTCATAGTAGGCATGTGCTCTGCAAACCATATCTGTTTTGATACAGGTCACAGTTTTATTTTCTGTTAATATTATTTTCCATTTATATTAAAGTTTCTGCATGCTGTCTATAATCAGGGTAAAAACAGAATAACAGCAGTACAGTGAATGCATGTTTCAAAGATTCAATAATACATATGAATACTGAATAAAAAGAGAAGAAAGTTATTTTGCACATCTCTGTATAACATGGAATATAGTTCCTTTAAATAAGATGGAATTAATATTTTACTAATATTTTCATTACTTGTAAATCTAAATAACTAGCAATTTAAATAAATAATAATTAAATAACTTTCTTGTGTTCCAGTTTGATACTTATAGGGACTTGTTTTTAAATGTGAATCAATCTACTGTCACTAATATTATATTTACATAAAACATACATTAAAACACTTCATGTACTATCAGTGTAACATACAACCAATAAACTGTTAAGTGAAATAGAGTGGGAATTGTCTGAACTCAAGCATTGAGAAAGAATTAATCAGGTTTAGAGTGTATACAGTATATGTGTATATATACTGTATATAGGTCCTACAGTACATTGTAAGATTACTATCTCTCAAAAACATCCAGCCTCCCTGCAGAATGATAATGTAGTATAGGGTGGTTTTGGTATTTGCCAGCTTTGTGTAGGTGGAGCAGTGGCTTTAATATTGGGTCTGATTGCCCACTATACATTTAGTTATATTTAATTTTGAGCTAAGCATGCTTATTTTTTAATTTAAACATGTAAGATGACCAAATAATCTATTGGCATGTCATCTATTTGCTTGTTTTCGTAAAACAAGAAAATAATCTAGAATACTCCAGCTGGTGCTAACCCTTCTGTAAGGCCCTCTGGAGCATGCAATGTGTCACCAGATACAGATCCTCATTCTCCCTGTACAGTACAGGAGTTGTTGCTAGGATTATAACACAATGCATATTACTTAGGTTTTATCCATTTTCTGCTCTTTGCATCTGTATTTCAGGATCTCATTTTCTGCTTCAGCTACAACTTGTTAAATTATATAAAAAAGGAAATACCTAAAATCAACAAAGCTGCAAGTATAAAGATAAAATGGTTTAGCACTAATTGTGTATTACCCATTAAATTCACTCTAGTTCTCTAAGTGCAATATTTCCCTGAGTAAAATCTGGTTGTTTACTAATAATGTAAACATTTAAATCTCAGGTTTCATCCTCAAAATAGCATCATAGTGTACTTTCTTCTGGGTGCAAAATGAAAAAAAAGAGCAAAAATCATTATATAAAATTAAACGTGTTCAAGATATAATCAATATGAAAAGGAGCCTGGAATACAAGAAAATCAGGGAAAGCCTTACAGTATAAAACTGTATTTTGAGTACACTGTAATGTGATTGAGACATATAAACTGAAAGGCAAGTTTCTTTGGCACCAAGCAGCTTTTCTAAACTGATGACCCATGAGAAGCTGTAATTGGTAATAAAATATAGGTATTTTTCAGTCACTGCGCCAAATAAATGGATCGGGGTAAAAAGACAAATAAGGTACTGGCAGGACTATAACAATGTGAAGATCCCCTTTGATACTGAATCCTATTGAATTGCAAATTGTGATTGGATTTTGAAGAGGCAGCTTTTTGATCATCCTAAAAATTGGGATTGAAAAACATTCATTAGAAGATCCTGATAAAACATTTCTTGGCAGGTTTCACTGTTGTACTGTATTTTTAAAATGCAAAACAAAATTGGGAGCATAAAATATGTCATAGAGGCATCTTCAAAAAACTAACAGACCATAAACATAGTTCAATCAAGATGACACCTGTAATTTTTTTTGATAGGTGATTCAGACAATACGTGCTGTAGACAAAGATGATTTTGCCAATGGACCCCGATTCCACTTCTCTCTAACAACTGATCTTCCAAGTAACCCAAACTTCACACTGAAGGACAATGAAGGTAATTTTACATATAAAGATGATCTAAAGGCTCCACAGCCGAAACGTTGTGTTCTCTTTCTTCTTTTTTTTTCAGCATGGAATAAACCTATTACTTGTTCCAGTACAGATATTATTGTAGTCATTTATGTGTTGTAATTATGCTTAGATTACTGCTGTATTATACGTTTTGTTATTTCAGACAATTTGAAAGGAAGGAGGCATTTTAAAACTCCAAGCAAAATATAATAAGCATGACAGTATTGTAACGCATACAGCCACCATTGCAGGTTGTGCGAGCCGGCTTACCAGCATGGTGACGTCACCTCCTTTCCCTGTGAATAGCAGGGACCGCAGCTGCCAGGCTAACGGGAGATTTCCCTTTAGCTCAACTGGCTGGGTCCCTGTTGAGTGACACCGGAGGCCCGGGTTTGAGTCCCAGATGGTGGGGGGCTGACCTGAGGCGGCAGCAGCGAGGGTGCATACCCACATGAACCCGAGAGCGCTACATTGGTGTCAGAGTGGGTTGGGATAGCCCTTTGCCGAAGATGGCGAAATAAGCGGGGGAGAGTGTAACACATATGGTGGACATTGCAGGTTGTTCGAGCCGACTTACCAGCGCGGTGACGTCACCGCCCTTCCTTGTGAATTGCAGGGACCGCAGCCATCGGGCTGAGGGGAGATTTCCCTTTAGCTCAACTGACTGGGTCCCTGTTGAGTGATGCTGGATGCCCGGGTGTGAGTCCCCAGAGGTGGGGGGCCGACCTGAGGCAGCAGCAGCGAGGGCACATTCCCACATGAACCCGAGAGCGCTACAATATTATTCTGATAAATATGTGTGGATGTGCATGTTACAAAGGAAAGGCCCACTCTCATCAACCCTGTTGAATATGTTGGATGGATATGTTATCATCAAGCAATATTTAATGTTGCTGGATGGTGAATTTAACAAAATAATTACTCATAATTAATTTTTTATTTTGAAATTTCACCCATTATCCAAAATTAGACTGAGCAGTGATTCTTTATTGGTCTATGCTTTATCACATCATATTAGCTCATGTGTGTTTAAGAGTTTACATTACATTTTTAACATTGCTGTTACTTTACTCTTCAATGATATTCTTGTTGTCTATGAGGCAGATATTGCTATATGTTTATTAGTATTTCACTAACTTAAAAAGCTTCTTCCACACTTGATAGGGTATACAGTTTGAAATAAAAGATAAATGATGTTACTATATGGCGGAAACATAAAACATACTATATGTTTATACAGTAAGCCCTAAATTAAAATACTTACCATTATTATACAGTAATATAAACTAATTTTACTTTCTTGAGAATTTCAGGACATACAATAATGCTATGTATGTAATTCACATGATTAATCACTGTGTTTTCAATGACATAGCTCAATCTCAGACTATTTACACTGTAAATTATGTTTTGAAACTTGTCAGGGAGTAATATACTGTAAATGTACATTTACGAGGGCTTAACAGCATTGTGTTTGTAGAAGTATAACCACACAGACCATGGTTTAGCCTCAATTGAGTTTATATATGGGGTGTTAACTAAGTATGTAATCTGCCTTGTAACAATATAAAAATAAATCATTAAAACACAGAAAATAAAATTTTCAGAAGTAAAACCACTGGCACAAATGCAGAGTATGTTGTGCCAAACTTAAAATTGCAGGGGAAAAAGATTTAAACAGGTGTCTTGATGCCCAATTATTGTGGAGAAACCATCATTCAGTATAAATGTTTTAATAGTATAGTATTTGAGAAAAAAATATACTGTCATATATTAATTTAATCTAGATATGTAGATATGTATAAAGGCAGTCACTTAAAAAAACATAACTGCACTGCTAAAATTTGAAGTGCTGTAGATGCGAGTTTAATATGAAACTAGAGGAGGGAACACAATGAGGAACAGGTGCTGTTTATTTAAGCTCCCATTAGAAAAAAAAAAAGCTTAACGCTTAAGTACACATAACAAAGTAAGCACTGAATTCTGAAGTCATAATTGCAGTAAAAATGGCACACAAGTAAATAATTAAGTGGAATATAAAATCGACTAATATGTAACCCATTAAAAAGGAAAAAATATTAGGAATAATTAAGTAATAAAATACATTTATGAAAGCTTTAACCCTGTTAGTTCACCAGATTTATAAAATGATTTTACTTTTGGCTGTGGTCTTCACATGGATTACATTAAACAGATTTTGACATATGTACCTTGGTAATCAATGGTAGTGGAAATGGGCTAAAACAGTGCTCAGAGAGTACGTGATACAGGGGTCAGCAAGGTTGCCTTCCCGGTCTCTACTGCCTGAGATTGTGATCAGCGTAATGGGCTGAAGAAGAATCTGAAAGGTAAAGACATTCTAAAATTAAACATATGTATACAGTATACATAGCTGAAGCATAAGAATAACTTAAAATAAAGGTTGTTTATTTATGAATATTGAATATGTATTGAATATTAAATATTAATATTTCTGTATGTGTGTAGTCTCTATCTTGATATTCTTCTGCATACAGTACTGTGTCAATTCCTTCAGGATCACATTGTCCAAAGATATACATCAATTATTTTTCCTTTTACTATGACCTCTGGGAAAGGAAGAAAAAACAGAACTTGCAAAAGATTAACTCTAAAGTTCCCTAAAGATACTGTTTGGGAGTTGACCCTGAATGTGAATTAGAGCCTGTTAATTTGAAAGACAAATCAAAACTTATTTCCAGGTCAAAAGAAGGAACATAAACATAGGTTATATGAACTGTTATACTGGTTATTTTAGATGTGAGCATTTGATATCCAAGTATGTATCAAAATTAATTTTTTATTGTGTGATTTCTGCAAGTTAACAAAGAGGTTTTTGTTTTGCCTCATGTAATGTTTCAATTAGTAGCCTCTGAGCCAGTGTTCCAGTGCTGTCTTGTGGGATCTGAAGTGCATTTCTTATTATTTCTTCACTTTTTGCTCTTTTAGATGGAGTTGAGAGTGGACTGTGTTTTTGGTCTGTGTAGTGTGTGTGTGTGTTGAACATTAGCTTGATTAGTTGAACAGTTAGAAATATTCTCCTTCATGTGAAGGTTCTTTTGTATGCTTCAAAAAGCTGCATTACTAACTTGATTAATTGTCCTAACAATATTCATTGAAATTTCTAACAATCCCTCCTAATAATCCCCCTCTATAATTTGGCTTCATTACTCTGCTCTCCTCCCCACTG